CTCCTTCAATTTCTCTGCAAGCTCCTTTCTTTTTGTTTACTACTGTATCTCTAGTGCCCAGCATGTAATAGGTGCTCAATAAAAATATATTGAATAAAACAATGATATTACCGATATTATCAGCTCTATGTGTATATTTTACTTCTAAGTCAAAGAAGTCCAGATATGAAAATGTACAACTTTGGGGGATAGTGAGTTCCTTAATACTAGATTTATTCATGATTAGGCAGGAACATTCAGTGAAAGGAATTTTATAGTGAATAATATGGTCTTTTGGAGACGCTCTTGAGCTTGAAAACCTACAAAACTAAGTAATGTGCTTTATGCATGTGGTTTCCCAGAAAATGGAGTGCTGCAGTATAGCATGGTGGGTTAATGCCCAAACCCAAGAACCATACTAGGGTGCAAATCCTGGCTCTGCCACCCTTGGCTGTGCCACCTTAGGCTTCTCTGTCCCTGTCTGAATGTTCCTCATGTCTCGTTTATGTTAAGTGTTTCACTGCTGTTTAGTTATGCTCTCATTTCCTAAAGTTAAGGTCCCAGTGGTGTCCCTGCTACTTTATCTGCTAATAAATCGCATAGGCTTTACTCAAGCTAAGAGATCTATTTCCTTTCTTTATGGTTTGAGGTTTCTGGATGTGTAATTTTTAGATGATTTATTAATTTTTTTCCTAAACTAGAATAATACAACATAAAATATCCAACTGAGCATGATATAACCTTACATCAGCCACGAGATATAAACAGCATGAATTTAAAAATTGAATGCTATATGTATGTAGTACTCTAGAAATGAGCTGTCCAATATGGTGGCCACTGGCTATGTGTGTCAAGTTAAACTTAAATTATTAGAATTAAATACAATTTAAAATTCAATTTTCCAGCCTCATTATTTGCACTTTAAGGGCTAGAGAGTGACATGGGGCTAGTGGTGAGGACAGCAGACACTGTGGATACGAAGCGTGCCCGTTATTGTAGAGAGGGACAGTGCCATCTTACAAACCGGATACATTCAGCAATTTAATTGTATTTTGAAGAAAATGACCCTCATTCCATATATTTACTGAATGCAGCTTTCCAAGTGCCTTCCAGCTGAGCTTACCAACATTTTTGCCAACTTCTAAAATTTCTCTGCAGCCGCTTCCTTTTCATCAGCGCCATGCATTACTGCCATGACCCTGCACATCTGCTTCTCTCTGAATCAGTGGGCTAGAGCCCTCCCGGCAGCCAAACCGCTCGGGGCTCCCGTCTGCTCTGACTGTCCTGAGAACACAGCTAATGATGACACACATTTCAGAGTCCCTCTAATGTCAGGGCAGCATGGCGTTTGAGAATTTAAGGGTCTTTAGAAGCCACATAAGGGCAATTTCCTCCTGTTCTCCACTGTCAAACTTCTTGAGAGAGTAGACTGTATACACTGTCTCCAACACCCACTCTTTAACCACTTCCTGTCTGACACTGATTAGGCACTGTGCTGGGTAGAATCCTGCAAAGACAGATATTTAGGAAACTGAGGCTCAGAGACTCAGTACCTAGATGGCTTATCTAGCTAGTATTGGAGCCCAAATTCAAATTCAGATTTGTCAGGATCAAAAGTTTGTACTTTACATCCTTGCAGATCACGTGACGCTGCCTGCAGACCACAGGTCACTAATGCATCCTACCTATTGACTTTCAAGGTCCAGACTCAGTCATCCCTGCCCCCAGCCTCCGTGGGCTAGGTCACCCATCAAGGTGGAGAAGGCATGAGCCGTGTTGAGTTTGTAAGCAATATTTTCCTAGTTTGGACATTTTAAAAAGCTATAGGAACTTTGTCAGGTCATTCCAATGACTACTGATTCACAACCAACAAAGTCATTACTTGGAAGTCATTTGTACACAACTTGCCTAACCATTCAGAAAGCACTTTGAATTGCATATATTGTGATGTGGGGAAATTCTCTAACTTTGACAGCCTTTTGTGAGATTTAAATATGTAACCTGTATGTGTATAAACATTTTAAACAGGCAACTGCTTTCAATAGCAGTTACCTTATGGAGCGAAAGAGCAGATTGATATAACACAATTGGTAGTCATTAAAAAATCAACACTCTCCCTGGACTTACTTTTTTTCCCCATTTGAATAAGTTACTTTTGTGTGGGTGGGCAAAGACAAAGAAAAGAAAGTTTATCTATATTAAATTATCCTTAGAAGAAAATTTGGTTTGAAAAACATTAGCAAATCGCAGTTACTATGAACTATTGCTGTTACTCAGAACTATCTTTCAGGGCTTAGAAACTTTTTTTTTATTATACTCTTTTGGAATGCTACCAGATTTGACTTGTAGATTTCTTTCAAGAATGGACTCTGCCATTGTCACACCAGTTCTTACTAACACTTAGCAATGCAACCTAAGGATTGAGGGGCAGGATTAGGAACAAAAAAGGGCAAAAACTAAACCATCACCAGCAAGGAATCAAATCACACACACCTCCATGCACTGACCACCAGACAGGATTCAGCTGGAAATGTGGGGCCAGAGCCCATGTAGGGTCAGACTACGGCGGACTTGAGAACAAACCTCTATTTTCTAAACTAGTCTTGTCTTTTGACAGCTCAGTCTGTCAAGGCACACGTAGAAGCTGTTATGAGTATGGACTTGTGTGGGATACAAGATTTTCGGCAACACTGCCTTTTCTTCTGAGCCAACCACTGGGAAACCTGATGTATTAGCAGTTCAGAATCAGTGGTCTTCCCAGGGTGACATGGACAGAGATGATCGAATGCCAGCTCCAGAGATGCCCTGAGGCCTTCTCATTTTCTCCTCCCACCCCACCCTGAGCCCCTCATCATCTGGGCAGCCGACTCTGAGAGTAGTGTGTTTCCAGCTGATGGGTGACTCATCATGTCATTTAAGTTTGTCAGTCAATGGAAACCAGAGCTCCAAAGTCTCTGTCCAGGACTCTCCCTGGGGAAGCTATTAAGGAGAAGGCAGCCTTGCCAGATGTTTCCCTCCAGCTGGCCTGACTGGCATGTGCAAGGGAATCTGCTTATGCTCAGGGCCTGGCACCAGGACAGGGCCTGGACGCTTCAGAAGGCTGCCCTCAGTTTTCCTAGCATTCGCCATGGGCAACAGGCAAGGGAGAAAATAGACTCAGCTACTAAGAAAGCCACAAGGAGACCAATGAACACCCTGAAGCATAAACAGGTAAAAGCCATTGCAGTTGGATTTGGGTTCATTTTGGAGCCTACTGGGATGAACACTGCATAGTAAAAAACACATTCCCTTTGGGGCCAGAAAAGTTGGATTCCCGTCCCAACCTGCACTTAGATAGGTGAGCTTAAATTTTCTAATAACCTCTCGGATGCTCAGTTTCTTCATCTGTAAAATGGAAAAAAAACCCCCCAAAAAACAAAGCAAAACTGTTCTTGCTCTTCTTAGCCGATGTGCAGCCATAAAACATAGGAAAGCACGTTTTCAACCGTAAGGAAAATGCTTTTTTCTCTGAAATGTTTATTTCTAACCACAAACCTCTCTCCCAAGTTCCAGGCTCACGTTTCCAGCTGTCTGTTCTGCGGGTCTTCCTAGATGGCTCATAGGTGAGCTGAGAGGTCCGCCCAGTCCTCCAGCAGCGGGGGGCCTGGCGTGGCCGGAGACCTCAGCAGGCTGGGCCCGGCGCAGAGCCCCCTCTGGAGTGTGAGCGCGGCTTTGTGCGACGTTGCGGCCAGTTAGCTATCTGGCCCTCAAACTGAGTTCATTAAAAAAGCAAACGGGCCGGGCGTGGTGGCTCACGCCTGTAATCCTAGCTCTCTGGGAGGCCGAGACGGGCGGATTGCTCAAGGTCAGGAGTTCGAAACCAGCCTGAGCAAGAGCCAGACCCCGTATCTACTATAAATAGAAAGAAATTAATTGGCCAACTAATATATATAGAAAAAATTAGCCGGGCATGGTGGCGCATGCCTGTAGTCCCAGCTACTCGGGAGGCTGAGGCAGGAGGATCGCTTGAGCCCAGGAGTTTGAGGTTGCTGTGAGCTAGGCTGACGCCACGGCACTCACTCTAGCCTGGGCAACAAGTGAGACTCTGTCAAAAAAAAAAAAAAAAAAAAAAAAAAAAGCAAACGTATACTCTTCCTTCAAAAGCTGCTCCTGCGGGCGTCTCCTTGCTGTCCACGACGGTGACCTTTACAGGTTGTGTCGGCTTCATGCAGAAGCATCATCCTTGACATTTCTCTCCTCTCCTCTCCATCCTAGTAATCACCATTTTTTCTTTTCCTATTTGTATCTTCACGTCCCACAGACCCAGGCTTGAACCCAACGCCTCCCGCTTGAACCCAACTCCCCTCATGTAACCTTGAGGAACTTTCTTCACCAGACTGGTGCTTGATGTTCTCATCTGCGAAGTGAGAAGATACGGTTTGCAGATCTGCTGTGAGAATTAGGTAAGACTGTGTTACCAGATGCGTGGCATGCGTGGGCTCGCTTCGACCTTCCGGTGCAGCTGCGTGCCTCGCCGGTTTCCCTAATCCCCAGCCTTTCCCGTTCCTGCGTCCTCATCCTTAGCCCTGTGTTTCATCTTGCCTGGACACTCCCCTCCCCACCTCGCCATTCTGCCTACCAGATCACCTGCACCCTTCCCCCATCGTCAAATGCCGCCTGCCGTTGGCATCAGGAGTGGCGCCTCCTTCTGAACTGCAGGTGCCTCCTGCACTTTATTTCACAACTCCGGAGGCACTTGACAAGACTGCCACAGAGTCTGCTCTTGTGTGTGTCACCTATCCTCATGACGCTCCTGTTTATCTTCCCCACTCAGTCTATTTACTTAATAAATAGTTTTTAAATGACTAAAAGGAATGATCAATCAATCGAACAGTGACTGATGCCCGAATCTGGCATGAGCCAGTGGAAAATGATTCAGAAGTGATGGAATGATTTAAACAAAGAATAAGACACCAAAGACACTTCTCATTTTGTGTGCTGATCTTTTAATGAACATCTTATAATCTTACAAAATAGCTGGCTGCAGCTGTCTTGCGTTGCCATACGGCAGATCAGCTCCCGCAGTCCGTTCCGGTGAAGCCGTCCCCTTGGTGCCGACTGACCACGCCGCAGAGACCGCACGGAACAGAGGAAGGGCCGAGCCCAGTGCCCTGTGATGGAGAAAGGGGAAGGAGAGAGCCCAGAAGAGCTCTTGACTTCCAGGTACTCTTTGCTTTCGTGTTTGCCAGCATGGCCCATTCTCCCCACTCCGTCTCCTATCCGTCTCTCCGACTGGAGGCTGTCATGCCAGTCCCTAGAGTCAGGCAGCCCCGGGCAACCTGGGCACCAGAACTCCTACTTACTGGGAAAAAGAGGAAACAAAAGCGACTTCGAAACAATGAAGCAGAAGAGCCTCTGGGAGAGGCCCTCCATGGCACCATCGATGCGGCGCCAGGGCGAGCTCACGTCCCTGGGATCCGCGGCCGTGGGCCCTGCTCTCCCACTCTAGCCGTGGCCTCGGTTGCTCAGAGTACTCGGCCCTGGGGACGAGGACAGGAAGAGCTCGCTGTCTCTGAATGGCCTCAGCTGACTAGGGCCGGGCAGCTCCGAGCGGAGGGACGTTTCGCACACAGGAGCTACCCTTCCACCGTCCCAGGCGGGGGCGGATTGAAGATGCTGCCAACAGAGGATACAATATTTACAGTGAGGCCTGCGAGAGAAATGATCTTACTATTACTTTTATGGAAAGACTGAGCGCAGATGCATGCTGGCATGAACGATGGGCTACGTGTTTCTGTGGGGCTACAGCTCAGAAATGCCCAGAACGGCTCTTCCTCTGCGGCAGTCTCAGACAAGGGGCGAGCCCCAAGAAGGCGCGTGACACACTTCCAGGAATTTGGATATTTTTCCCTAGAAAACTTTATAACATGTTGTGTTTTTTTTTTTTGATAGAGAATTTAAACTTCTCCACTGTCCTTTGAATATTGAAACCTATCAAAATCCCAGAAATATATAAATATCCTGTCCTCCTGGGGCTCTAAGTGTGAGCCATGGCAATGAATGGCGTCTAGGCTGTGGCTTCTCTATGGCTGGACCTACAGAGGACAGGGGGTTTTTTGGATGGGCAAACTCTGCTCTTCAGTTTCCCCAAGGACTTTGCCACCCTCATTCCACAAACTCACAGATAAATATGGGTGTATGAATTTATTCTTGTATTTTCCATTTCAGAATATTGGTCTTCCCTACATGCTAGTGTGGATAATACTTCGATAATTGTGGGTAATATTTCCTATTCTTATTTGCAAAAAGTAGAGCAACTGTGGTCACAGCAAAAAAGCAGAAGAAAGGAAGAGATGATGGTTGAGCTCTAAATTTTGCCTGTTCTTGGTTCTCACTGGAGAGGAAACTCTGGGGGAGACAAGACTCCCTGCCCTTTCTAGGGTGGTAAGACTGGGACGTTGAGCAGAAATCAGCTCCTTACTCCCTTCCCCAAGGCTTAACCTAGAAACCTTTGCAAAAACACGTAACTGCAATAGACCACATGCAAAATAGTAAGCCCTGGCTGTAAATAGAGGCAGGGTAATTATGGTCTTCATGTGCAGTCCATCTATTGAACAGGAAAGGGTAAAGACAATAAAATGGAACCTAAATAGTTGAAATTCTTCTGTCTCCCCACTGGGTGTCACCCTTGCTCCATGTATTTCCATGGCTTGCTTAAATCAAAATCTCTAGCCCACAGAATTTATACATCGCTCTTGAATAGAATTTATCTCAATTTTTACATTGCTCATGGGATTCACTGTGGTCTTCTTTGGAGGCTTGGAAAAAATACTGAGTCTCTTTGACTCCTGTCATCCATATGCTCCTGGCCTTGACTTAACCCTGATTGCTCATCTCCTGATGGTGTCCTCTGGCTCCTCCATCCCTGCCTGTTCTTTCTTTGCCTTCCTCCTCTCCCTCCCACTATAATTACCTTGCTATAACATTTTTTTTTGCCCCAGAAAAATCACAATTAATCATGTGACTGTGAATGATGGCCAGGCTTGGGGACTTCTAGCAAGGAGTGAAACCACAGGCCAAGTATGAAGAGTGGGGTGTCCCTCTGGCCTGGTGACCAGAGAGTGTGCCCTAATGCAGACTTGCTGGCTGGCTGGCTGGCTGGCTGACGGTCACATTTGGAATGGGGATATATGGAAGTGCAGAAAATCCTGGGTCTCACCAACTCCAATTGAGAGTTCTGAGAAGTGGAGGAAAGTTAATATCTTCTTTTTGGGCAAAATCTCAAGAACCACAGTCTAATTCTCCTGGACCCATCACCGGTAGGTACTCACACCCAACTTTCACGACTCTTAGTGTTATCATTCCAACTCCTTACCTCCTTCAAGTGGGCCCAGCTCCCAGGTCATAAAAAGATGATCAGCTGACAAACTAGCATCTAGAATTTCATCCAATCACTCTCTCTCCTTCTCCCTTCCCATTCGACCTGTCAATCCCCAACAATAGCAAGACGGCAGGCAACTTGTCTTTTTGTCCTCAAAGCCTCAGCATTCATTTTGAACGTGAACTTCACAGCAGCATGTGTGGAACAATGGATTTTTAGCTTAGTAAACAGCAAAAAATATAATATATATAATATATTTATATAATTATGTTTAAATACTTATAAAGAATTAATAACTAACTTCATTATTTAAAGAAGCCTACACAAAAGAAAGGGAAATAACCAGCTGAGAGTAGATGAGCCCTGAAAGATGGCAATCCATTCGAAATGGGTATTAACAGTGTCCCTGCCAACATCTCTCCTCGTGTTTTGCTATTAGTTTGCAGGTTGGGTGGGGCTGAGCAGCTGGCAGGGTGCAGAGTGGGGAGCAGGGCAGGCGCTGAGGATGGCTCTGAGCAGAATGTAAGTGGGGAGGGTCCTTATATATCTTCCGTGTTTCTCCTTCCACTCTAAAGAAAATTTGCCTAGGATTCTCCCCCCCTTGGGCTACTTGATGCACTAGGTGGCAACTGTAAGTAAATATCCTCTAGCATTTCCTATGAGATCCTTCACACTTTTGCTCCTTCCTCTACTTCATGACCTTTCTTCTTCCTTCACTCTGTTTCCTCCTGTGTTGGCCTTTTTTACTGCCTCTGGGCTGTGGAGGGAGGGCCAATCCCACAGCTACTGATTTTCTTCTGCCGTGGGGTCTCGGCAGGTGCATTCATCCAGGTCGCAGTCAGCAGCAAATGGAATGACCTGGGGGTGAAAGAGAAGTGGAAATAACCCATGCTGTGCGAGCTTTACACTTTTCAACCAGCTTTCACTTTTTCTCACCTGGTCCCGAGGAACTGTGGGACTATGGGCTACTACCACAGACCTGAAGTTAACACTTCTCCCACTCACACGCCATGTAACCCTGTTATCTTAGGCAAGGTAATTCTTCTTTATTTTACTGTCTTTGTATATAAAGTGGGCAGAACAACAGAAACTATGCCAGAGAGTGTTTGTAAGGCTTAAATAAGATGATGGGTATAAAACACTTATGCATTGGCAAGCACCTATGACTACTGTTCTTCTATTTCTAAGATTACACTAATACCTAAAACTACTGCTTTTATTATTTACATTGCTGCTATCATCTTCACAAAATTTCTGTAAAGTAGGAAAGATGTATGTCAGCACATTCTCTTTATAGAGAAGGCCGAGAGAGGACGGATGCCTAACTCAGGATAATGACACCACTATATGGAAAGCCAAGGCCCTACAGATTAGCTCTATGACTCCTACTCCTTAATGTTCTTGAATCAATAGGATCATCTTCGCCATCTTCATAAACATGAGTTTTTATCTTTATTGATCCCAGGATATACTTTGGCTTGATGAAACATTGCATCTCCCCACCCATTGTGTGTGGCTATATCGCCTTTCTTCTATGTAACTATCCTTTCCCCATGCCAGGGATGGTCCAGGAAAAGTTGCTGTCTTCTTCTTGCACTGCTACCAACAGACAAACATCACTTTTGAGTGTCCAAAACTCGTATCAGAGAGATTTAGGCATTTGGGAGACATTTTCCCTTTTGGGCATTAACAATCTAATGAGATCAAAATGAATAGGCATATCACATACAATACTAGTCCAAGTACACTGAAAAGACATGGGCTTGGTGATTGGGCAAGTGGATTGGAGCATGGGTGGGACCGTTTGGGGAAATTTTCCAGCATATTTGCACATAGGAAGTAAAATGTGATTTAGGAGTCAACAGAGGGGTGAAGTGCCTTTTCAATCTCGATTTTTGTGTATGCTGGCCACAGACATTGAAATTCATTATAAAGACAAACCTAGATTTGCAGAGTGTGAGATGGGGAGAAAACTTCTTGCTTTCTCCCTAAGTGATCATGCTTCCTGTATGGAGATAGCTGGCCTGAGTTCTGGCCTGTGGTCCAAGCGCTTGATCTGTTTCTCTTAGTTCAGAATGTATTGGCTTTAGAGTGAAAGAGGGCCAAATTGAATAGTGACATGATGAGCCTCTGAGTGCTTTGCATTAAATAAGTTGATTGACATACATGGTGAGAACAGTGTGGCACATAGTGAGTGATCAGTAAATATCAGCAATTAAGAGATATAGTACTGAGGTCTGCCTGCAGGTGATCATGGTAGGCATGGTTTTATCATAGAGACATGCACAAAGAAGGAAATAACATCTCTTAGGTGTTTCTGATTTATCAAATTGGCCAATTAGCTTAAAATATCTTTGGAACACTTGGATTTTTACCCATATTATCACAAAACTTCAGCCTATTCAATTTTATAGGCTTAGCTTAAGCCTATATCCTAATTTAACAGAGCCAAGACTAATAGGGACAAAGGGCATCAAGGACAGGACTCATGCCCAGGACATAATCTAGAGATTGCTCAGACGGCTGGTGGCAGCCGTCCAACACGTGCCTGCAGTACGCTTATAACACGCTGCACGAGACTGCTCGTGTAGTTGTGAAGATGAATGGCAGCTGGAGAGCACTTCGCTGGTAATCCTGCCTCCCGAGGGTAAAGACCAGTGGTTTCCCTGCCTACAGAGAAGTTCCCTGGACGGTGATAAGAAGTGTGACTCTTACAGTAACAAAAGCCATGGATTTCCTGGAAGAGTTGCCAATGGATAATTAGAAATCTAGTGTTTTCTAACCACTTCGGGACCAGCGTTGACCACAGTGGACGGCCACAGATGAGCGCGCACAGCGACTGTAGCCGACAGCCGTGATAGGACTTTTCTAATTTTTCATTTATCAAAATAAAATTGTGAACATTTAAAAATCACGTAATGAAAACATATATGTATAAGTTACCTGTTCTGATTTACATGACAAGTAAAGCTGCCTATAAAGTAAAACACGCTGTCAGTGCTTTCAAGCTTTCCTCAGGGCACAAGAGCAAGACGGACCCGTCGTCCACGCGCAGCACGGACCGCCGTGCGGCTGTGAGTGCGGCTGTGAGTGCGGCTGTGAGTGCGGCTGTGAGTGCGGCTCTGGGCAAGTACCGAATGGCTAAGAGCCTGTGCTACCCTTACTCCTGTCACTGCAGAAGCTCTGATGTTTGTTCATTATAATTCTGTCTTGACTGTTAAATTAGAACCAACTGTAATCCACCACGAAGGAAAGCGAGCCAAAGAGCCTGCCTTATTCTCGGAGCTCCTCTCTCGCCCCCATCCCGGGTCTCTCCTTTACCTTCTTGGAGGACAGCGTGGAAGAGCAGCAGTCTCCCCCATCGTAGTGGCAGTAGGCCCGGTTGTTGATCGTGTCGCACCAGCCGTCCGCTTGGAAGGGCTGTAAGGAAGTGGAACTCAGCGGCTCCGTGCAGCTGCACGAGGCCCTGTCCTGCTCTCCCCACCCCCTACCCCCCGCCCCCATAATCCGTAGACTCCAGAGGTACTGTGGGGAGCACCCAAGGGGCAGGACACAAATGGATCCAACATTCTCAAAAAGTTGAAAAATCTCAAGGCCATTGATTGAGCCTAAGGAATTGTCAAATTTCACCTGTAGCACCTGCTCCTGGCCTACTCTAAGGTCTGGGATGGGTCATTTAAACTCTTTGATCAACTTTTTCACTTCTTGTAATAAAAGGTCTTGATATCATGTAGATTACAAGACATTTTCACACATTTTAACTGTTGATCATCGGAGAAGGCCTGTGCAGTAGACAGGACTGTCTGTAAAAGTCCCACTTTATGAATGAAGAACTGGCAATAGACAGAGGTAATAAGAATCTCCCTGGGTCACATAGCTATGGTGAGGCAGAGTTTGGCACTAGATGCCAAGGTGCTTGCCATATATCTTGGCTTTGACCTGCTTTTCACATATTAAGGACCATAACCTCTTCTGGTGTGGGAAGATTGATCCTTAAAGATCCTGGGAGTCTCTGGGTGCCATGAAGACCCGAGTGGTGTCTGTCTAGCGTGCAGTGGTGCTAGGGCTGAGGACATCAGTGCTGGGACAGAAATATTCCCACGCGTGCAGCTGTCTCACGCATTGCAGCGAGACACAGGTCAGAGCAGAGAAAGCTAAACTGTCCCCATCACTCCTGTCACTGCTGAATAGGAGCCAAAACGGAAAAGAGGTCAGGCCAAACCAGAGTTGATGGAGTGTTTCACCCTAAAAGAGAATGTACGGTAAGAACAGCAACAGGGAGTTAAAAAATAGCTCAGCAGCGCACTGCACTGTTACTCCAGAAAACTGCCTCTGGAGGGAAGCACTGCATCCCGGAGGGCACGGCAGCCGGCCCACCTGTTTGAGAGCATCAGGCTCCCCCATCCTGAGCTGATGCATAACCGTAAAGCTTCAGAGAATGACTCGTGGCCAAACTCTTGAGGTCACAGAAATTTTAAGTTCTAAGGCCACCTTCCAGTTTACACGTTCAAATCGTTTTCTCTCCACCTCACTCTCCTAAATGCCAAATGGAAGAAGGACTGTGCCCTATTTCACTGTGCTTTGATGAGATAGGCCACTCAACTCAAAAACGGCCATTAAACATTTTTCGGCAATTAAGTCACGTCAGAACGAGCTCATCCAAGCTATCACTTCACTGTTCTGACTTGCTCTGTGGGGTCTCGAGGTCATCTGAACATCGTTCCAGACGTGTGCCAGCCTGCCAGCCGCCGGGAAGCTGCTGCTTGTGGGGTGGGGGCTGCTGTCGCACAGCTGCACAGCAACGCCAGCGAGAGCAGGAAGTGAGCATGAATTCTGTTTTTGACACAGGCCTCACTGCGATAAAAGACAAGGATTTCGAGATGAACATTTGTCTGTGACACTGGAGCCAGTTATTCCGGCTCTAGAGAACTTTGAATCACTATAAAATCAAGAAACAGGTCCAAAATTACAGCCAAATAATAGAAGTCAAAAGACACTAATGTGACCTGAACACCTGTAGATGCCGCCAGTCCTATAGAAGGCCCAGACACATCTACTGGGATGCCCCAGAGTGGCTTTCTTTTTCTCTTTTTCAGTGTTTGGAGTATATTTTCCTCATCCAACACTGCATCTATTACTTTTCCTACAACCTCAACTGACTAATTGGCAAAATTTAGTAAGTTCCTTCTTTTTTTCCTTGCAATTGTCTATAAAAATATAAAAAGCACCCAAAATACTTTTCCTACATATGCAAGTATGGTCTTAAGAATGGAGAATTAAAGACAGATCAAAAGATATTTTTCCTTTCCCTAAGAACAACCTAAATATTTCAATGGGTTAGTAAAGGATCATGGGGAATTGTTCTTTCTAAAGTTTTAAGCAAGGATGGCTTCTCATCCCAAGAACATCAGGGAAGGCACGTTGAAACGAGCAACAGTGTCCTGCATGACCTTCTCCAGGTCCCACTGGACTTCTGTTGCTATAGCCCCGAGGAGATCTCTATAAGATCCTTCTTTTCTGCTCTTTAAGAGTCATCAGGAAAGAGAAGGGAATTTATAAAAAGGAACAGAAATGCAGAGAAAAGGCTGGAAAGACCCAAGTGTTTAATTTACTATATACCTATTAGAATTAATCGCTCCTCCCCCAACCTGCCAAAACAACCACTCCACCCTCAACAAACAGAGTCGCCCATGGCAACATGTGCCTGGGAAGCTCGACAGCTTGAGTCCAAAGTTACAATGAAAAAATAGAAAGGGAAAAATGACTAATTGATCCAAAATTTAAAAATATCTGAAGACTGGATGTAGACTAGGATATTTTAATCTCAATGATTGAAAGACACCAGACTTGGTTACATATCACGCCTCCCTGCAGGACACTTTCCCAAGGGAGGGCACTAGGCTCGGCTCCTCTGCACACTGTGTGCACAGGTAAATCTCACCACCCATAGCTACACCTTGTTCATTCTGTAACAACAGAACATAAAGTGTTCATTGTAAGTACATTTTTCAAATACCTGAAACTTATTCCTTAAAGGGTCACTTTTTTGTTTTAACCATTTTGATAAAAGAAAAAAAATCTTTATTAAATGCATGTTTCCCAGCCTTTTAACAATGTATACAACACAAAGTCATCAACACAAACATTTATTATTTTCATTTTACAGGAAGGTTCTCGCCTTTGTTAAATGCGCCTCCTCCAACATACACACACCGTCTTCAAGCATGCTTTACCTTGAGCCAGGAAGGCAAGCCCTTGGAATTATACTTAGTGAATACCTAAATCTGACAGAGAGCTTGGGTTGCTCTTCTTATGCTGTATGAGCTTTATGATACTTACTTTAGTTGTTACAGGAAGGCTTTTCCTGTCAGTCTGTTGGTATTAGCTGTGTTCCAGGCAGATGAAGTGGCCAAATAAATGACTGTGTGCAAGTAATGGAATGCAAAGAGGGAAGGCTGTGATTCTATTCCACCGATACCACCTTGGAAAGTCTCAAAAGTAAATATGATTTCTTCTTTACATTATATAATCAATCTGGTGTTCTCTTTTAAGGTTGCTGTGGGGAGTTAGCCATAGAGATGGTGGCCTGCCTGTTGTCTATAGGTAGAGTCATTCATCCAATCACTCAACATTCCTTATTCCATGCCTATATGTGCCAGGTACTGTAGTGGGATATAGAGATAAAGGGAACCCACTATAAACAATTTCAGCTCAGTGTGATAGTTCAGTGCTCGCATCAAGATGTGAGCAGAAGAGAAGTACCTAATCCAGATTTTGGGATCGGGGAATCTGCCTTCAGGGGCTGGTTTTACTACATCTAGCCTCAATGGAGAAGAACTTAGGACTGGATGAATCTGAAGGGAAGAAGAATCTGAGCGACCAAGAGAAAGGAGGATGCACCTGCGGGCTGGGTGGTCCCAGGCTGCCTGTCACAGACCCCACGCCCAGGCAGAGTTCCATAAACTTTGACTGACTGGCTGACAATATTGCTCTTCCTAATCGGACTAAGAACATTTGTCTTCTAGAGCTTGCCACAGAACTCAAGGCCTCACTGACGTTTTAGAAGGTGAGTCTGGGCTGGAGATCTGCTCTGATAATCTACAGGTGGGAACTTCAGCCTAAAGGGCCCATACCCCACAGGTGAGGCAGGGGCGGAATCCTGCTCTGTTGCCTCAAGGAGTGTTCTAGAGCAGAAGATGCTAATCACATTTTTGGCTGATGTCGAACACTCTTTTTCACATGATTTCTGAACAATTCTTCCAGTTATATGAATAAAACATACAACCCACATTTATTTCTTCGTATTGATCGGGCTGTGTCAGGTCCCCAAGAAGCTCTTTTCCAAAGCTGTGGGGCAGCACTGGGGCAGTCCTCGCAGCAGATGGGAGCTCTGTGTAAATGTACACATTCATTTTCTCTTTTTCTCTGGCTCTTCGATAACTGGCTAGATGAAGTCTTGAATACTATTTAGAACCCTTGTTCTAGGAATGATTAAATGGAGCCTTAGGAAGGTGAACTGTCTTATTTTCAATGCTAGTTAGTAGAAATCCTGAAAACAGAATTCAGATCTCTCTTCTCGATCTGATGCTCTCTCTGCTATACCATGCCGCCCCTGTCTGTGATTTCATTCATCTTTTAATTTACTGAGAAAGAAGGGTAACTTGAATTCCTTTGGTACCTCTATTAAAAAGGCTTAGGTACAGGGACATTAATATGAAGTGAACCCAGTGACCCAACACAGAGACTAAGAAAGGGTAAGATATATATGTAAATAAGGTAATCTCAACTCCACTAGACCCCACAACATCACTTTTGTTTCTCTCAGTTGTGGGTCAGGGTTTATCCCAAATGGGCTACCTGGCACTACAGCTCCTTCTGAGGCTCGGGGCTTAGCAGGCCCACCTTGCCTAGAAACTGACATCCCCGGGAGAAAGACACTGTGTTCCAATCCCATCACCAGATGCCTGCGATCCAGAAGCATTCATTTCTGAGCTTCAGAATGTCAAAGCCAGACATTTTGCTGCTCATTGCAGTCATTTGAGGAAAAAAGAAAATGGAGTTGTTCCCCTCTTCCATTGCTCACCCCTTGGGATAGGAGGGTTCTAAGGATGCCTCGTTTGTGGGTTTGCTGCAGTCTCCTTGGAAAATGTAAACTTAAAATATGCAGATACCTAGAGATGGATGGTGGATTATGCAGGAGTTGTCTTTCTTTCTTTCTTTCTTTCTTTCTTTCTTTCTTTCTTTCTTTCTTTCTTTCTTTCTTTCTTTCTTTCTTTCTTTCTTTCTTTCTTTCTTTCTTTCTTTCTTTCTTTCTCTTTCTTTCTTCATTCAGAGACAAGGTCTCCCTCTATCATTTAGGCTGGAGTACAGTAGCATGACCATAGCTCACTGTAACCTCGAATCTCTTGGGGTCAAATGGC